GATCAGGATGTGGTCGCAAGCATTCCCTCCCCCTCCATCACTATCCTCACAAATTTATTCTCTTACAAACACCAAGCTCTCGTACCCAGGGCTGGTATCCCCCGTATCCCCCTGCACACAGAGCAGATTGCACGCAATCTGGCATCACCCCAAAAACCAGGAGCCACCCCCAGCCCTACATCCAGCAACACCCCAGGAGGGAGCTCTCACTGGTCGCAAGCATTCCCTCCCCCTCCATCACTATCCTCACAAATTTATTCTCTTACAAACACCAAGCTCTCGTACCCAGGGCTGGTATCCCCCGTATCCCCCTGCACACAGAGCAGATTGCACGCAATCTGGCATCACCCCAAAAACCAGGAGCCACCCCCAGCCCTACATCCAGCAACACCCCAGGAGGGAGCTCTCACCTGAGACATCTGCACAGGGTTGAAGAGGGGGACTGTCCCCACCAGTGGGGGAGATTCGTGGGACCTGGTCTGGAAGGAGCGAAAGGAGAGACACTTAACAGCCATCCCCCCAATTTCAGACACCCCCCCCATCCCAAATACACCTCACCTGCTCTCCTGACTCCCATGAGCCTTTCATCTCAACGGACAGTGGAGTAACAGGAAAGGTATTTTCACCTTGCATTCCTCCTGGACAGTGCAACCAAAAAAAACCCATAAAAACCTTAAAATTAAGAGGAGCAGCTTCTCAAAGGTTGACAGGGAGAGGGGACCCACGTGGTTTTTACCGGGGTTTATGGATGGCGACCAAGCCAAAGGGCTTGTCCCAGCCTCGAGAGGAGTGTCTGGTGGGGATGGCGACATCCGTTCCTGAAACCACATCCACACGTTTAGAGCATGGTGAGAAGACCTCTGCACCAGATACCACACCACGCTTTCGGGGAACCGCTCCGCACCCATCCTGCTGGAGGGGTACCCCAAGAGCTGCTGGCAAATGAGCTAAGGAGGGGCTACAGGGTCAGGGCAAGCAACTCGTCACAAAGCTAAACTACCCGGAGAGCTTAAAATTAGGCAGGAGGCTGGACACCAAGCCTGCGTACAGTGTAAGGGGCCACCAGGGCCCTCTGCTCCTCATCTTCTGCTAGTTTTGGAAGAATACCCCAAAATTTCCTGCTCTGGGACTGTAGGTCGTTCTCAACCAGCAGAAAGCTTCCAGGGGAGGATCTCACTCCAACATCTACCTCCAAGCCCACCATCGGCCTGCAGTCGGGGATGTGACACCCCAAGGACTCAGCCAGGGCTGGGGTAACCACGCATGGCTGCTTCCCTCCCTGCTGCTTCCCCATCTCGGCTGCTCTTCCAATTAAAGAGGTTTTTCCTTCCCTTCAGCTCCTAAAACCTGCCCGAGCGGTGCCGCTCGCAGCTGCTGCTTTCCGCTCCGGCGGAGGGCAAGCGATCCCTGCAGAGTTTGCCAAGCGCTCGGAGGGCCTCCCGGATCAAAGAGGCTTTATAAATTTACAATTATTATTAATCAAGGATTCACTTCAAGGCTAGAAGGGCACCCAGTCCCGCTCTGTCCCCACACAGAGCAGCTACGGCCATGAAACATCTGTGCAACAGCACGGACCAGCCACCTGCACAAGGACGGAGGAAGAAATAGCGGGTGAAGGGGGAGACATGTCACCTGTCCCCATGGCTGTAACCCTGGGTGTCAGCTGGGGACAGGACAGACTTTCACTCCCTACCTGGGGTCCTGGCGAGGGGGAGTCCGAGGCTGTCTCGGACGCAGCTTTGGGAGATGTTTCCTTGGTGGGCTTTGACCGAAACCAGCCAAACCACCTGAATCCAGAGCTCTGGGAGATGGAGATTGTCACAGTCAGTGGAAATGGCAGGGAAGGGGAGGATGTCACAGCCACCCAAGATGTCCCCCACGCCAGCCCAGAGCAGGCACAGTTTTGCCCAGGTCAGGGCAGGCACGGCGGGCATCGAGGACAGGCAAGCTTGGAGCACGAGGCTTCGCATCGGCTCTGGCACGCTCAAAAAAATGCTGCCCCCGCCTCTTCGCCAGCGTCTTCGGCTGCGCTCTCCGAGGAGGGCCGGCTGTCATCTTCCAAGGAGACGGTGGAGCTCTCCGAGATGGTCCGAGCCCTTGCCTTTAACTCCTCCTGGCATTAGAGATCAGAGCTGACGCTTGGTGTTCCCAGAGGAGCCACCCAAGCATGACCAGAATGTCCCTGGGACTCCTCCATGCCAGGCAGAACAGATAGGGTCCCCGGGGACCCCCGTGTCTCTTACGCAGCAGGTGGGGTGCCCTCAGCGGGGTGCAGTGGGCAGCCCATGGTCCCAGAGGTAGGAAGCTGGAGAGGACTACCCTAACCTGTCAGGTCCCCGAGGGGTTGGCTGGTACCACGATGGGGGTTTCCATGTGAGTTAAGTGCGTGGAAGGATGAGCCAGAGAGTCCCAAATCTGCCCACGGCCCCCAGTGAGATGGTCTCCCCAACTCACCTGCTCTGCTGGGAGGGATGGCTGCACCCCTCCGGGGGACAGCGGGGCACCCCAGGGCTCCCCAGCTTCTCCTGTGGGGCAGAGGGAAGGACACAGGGTTCGGCCTGAGAATCTCCTGCCATGTCTATCAGAGGGATTTCCAGTGCTTCTATCATCCCACCCCAGAGCAAGGCTGTGTGGCCAAGATGTCCCCCACCAGGAGATGCAAGAGGCCATCCCGGCCCCTGTCCCTGTCCCTGCCCATGCCAGCACCAGGGGGTAAGCCACACGGCTGCTCCGGTGCATCTCAAACCTGCCTTGTGCTGCAGGACGGGAAGCTGGTTTTCCCATCCGGCAGGGAAGCAGCAGCACTGCCACCAACCCCCAAAGGCCTCTCTTGCTCCTTTGGTCAAGGTCTTCCAAAAAAATGAAGACCCACCTGCCCAGGGCAGTCAGCGCTGGTGGATGCAGTTTGCACGCACGGTACCGGGGCAAGTGTGGCTCCACGTCTGGGCAAGGTTGGAGGGACACCCCGTCCCACTGCTACTAGCTGAGGACAGGCATTTTTGTAGAGAAACAAGGCTGGAGCGCTTACCTGCCGGTGGCACCACCTGCGGAAGGGGCTCAGCAAAAACCTCTCCCGGAAGGGCGGCCGTCCCTGGGCCGAGCGTGGGGAGCAGCAGCTCTTGCCCAACGCCGAGCAGCGGCGATGCTGCGACCTGAGGAGGTGCTGGGGGCCGGAGAGACGCGTCCTCTTGAGAGCTGGGTCCGTGCTCTTGAGGGCTGGGTCCCTGGGGTGGCATGGGCTGGTACCACTGGTCATACTGGTGGCCTTCACTCTGGGGAAGCTCGTGGCCAGGCTCTCCATCTGCAAAAATAACACACCTCAGGAGTTTACCCTGGTATTTATAATTTTGTCCAGCTACTGCACAGAATTCTCCCTTTTTCCTTAATACATGAGCAGGAGCCAGGGGCGTGAGGGACCCCGGGGACCACATGCAGACAAGGGAGGAGGTAGAGCATGGCGTGACAGCAGAGACCTTTCAGGGGCTTCCAGGAAGGTGGGCTGTGAAAGATGGGGGGAACCTCCCAGGAGCGTGCCTGAGGTTGCAAATGAACTCGGAAGGGAAATGCTATGGAAGCCAAGAGACCGAGCACGAGCAGCACGCGCCCAGCAGCTCAAAGGAGCCCGGGAGCCTCCAACCTTTTCTGCCACTCCGGCTGCACACCCTGAGCAGGAAAGAAAATTCACCGGGAAGCCGCAGAC